GCCATAAACTATTCTTTGATCCCTCATACCCGCCTTCGAACAGTCTGTCCAGGGTCTACTTGGTTTTTAACCTGAGCAAAGAGGTCAAGTGAGAATTGGTTGTGGTGGCGCCTAGGTTGGCTACCGTAGCTTTTTTTTTTGAACAGCCATGGCACCACAGTGTAACCTTCTGCTATGAACTCTATGTGGGTTCAAGGGGGCATGTTGACAATTTCTCCTGTTTGGCTGAACCACGAGGACCGTCACTTGCGTTCAGCTTACCAGAAGTCTACATATCCAGCTCGTGAAGAGCCGACGATGGCGAAGGCTTATGTGCGAAGGTTCCCCCCGTTCTCGACTTGCCGCTATAAGCTTCGTATTCATACCAGGCTATGCCGCAAGTCGAGACACCTCAAAGATCTCGATGTCGAGTCGTCCATGCCGTAGGTTTTCGTATGATTGCTCAGTGTCACGGTGAAGAGACTTGCTCAGGTCAGGTCATTCTGCAATTGTGTCTATTATGGCTGTGATCTGGACACGTAGGTAGGATGGTCTCGTGGATATGAAAGTATGCAACAAATGTCAGAGCTCGAAATCCCGACTGCTTGGGTCTCAGACGTGATGATACGAGCCGGAATAACTGGATTTCTGAATCTGATTGATGGATAAAGAGCAAACAACATACGTCACCAGAAGTGATCAGCCTCATACTGACGTTCGAGCCATCGATTGATCAAGTCCACGACGCCAAGCATCTGGATTCGTAAGGTAGTCGCAGTTGTTGATACTCTCGAGAGCCTTATCACATCGATGATGATAATCCACTGTCCCCTCCTCCGATATCGTTGAAGGGCTGATTGGTTCCTGCCCAATCGGGAGGGGCAGGGCGCGTCCCCGCAACCAGAAGCTAATCCTGATCGGGCATAGCGCTGTCATCGAAGGGCGCGCACTAACCACCCTGTGCAGATGACTCAGGCATCATTCCGGACTTTTCGCTTCTTCCTCCGAACGGGCAATCCCCTTCTTCCTAAAGATTGGGAGGCTTCGTGACAGTGACACGCTATCTCTCCACTGACCCATGGGAAACGCCGTGGCTGCTCAACCCTGGAAAGTGGAAACAGGTGGCCCTTCACCATGCAATCCGGCGGGGGTCAAATCATCGGTCATGCCTACTACTCCGTAGGCCGAACGTGATCATCAGTCCCAGACAACCCACCAGCGACCGAGCAAATCAAAATTAATGGTCACAGAGTAGACGATCTGAATCCCTGCTAGTCAACTGCCTCCAAAGGCGAGGTAGACGATTGTTCCAACTTCCAAGCCTCCAGTCCAATCGATTTTCTCCACGGTGTTCGAGACAAAGAGTGCTTGACTTGTTTCGCTGGTACTTCGGCATGCTTCTGATACCCCAGACGAAGATAATATCGGACCCTGCCTACTGGACTCTCTGTCCCTCCTCTCTCCTTCACTCTGAACTTTTCCGATCATACTCCTGCTCTTACTCTGCTTCATTTCTATTCCCATATTGAGTCAACTCGAAACAACACTGTTCATCTCGACTAGCCGAGGTTGATTAACGAGCACTGACTCAATACGGCATCGGTGTCGGAGTGAAGTATCCACCTGAAAATGGAATACTTCGATTTCGACGGGGCTTCGTTCGGCTCCCATGCCCCAGACGACGAGGTGGCTTCTGACAAATTCGACCTGGATGAGAATGATGCAATTGCAAACTACGAATCCCTTCTACATGAGCAGCCTTTGGAGTTCTCCAACGACCTGCCGGAGCAGGACGATCTCAACCAGCAGACGGAAGCATCAGTCAATGCGCAAAGCAACAATGCTCTTTCAATTTATCGAGCCAAAGAGCCCTGCGACTTTTGCAGGCATATGGGTCTGGACTGCTTCGTTTCAGACAGAGGAGCCTTACAGAATGGCTGCACGTGCTGCATATCATTGTACCGAGAGTGCAGTTTCACGCACGCTAAGATGCCTGGCAAGCACATGGAGACTCTACAGGCGATCTCAGAGAATGCAGACATTCCAACAGGTGGTCCAAAGGGGAGGAAGACGCTGAAGTCCCTTACGGGAATGACCATATTGGAAGATATGGAAGGCCGGGGGAGGAAAAGCAGTTCTCGTCTTTCCCGCGACGCCGTAAGGATACTCAAGACCTGGCTTCTGGAGCATCTTGACCATCCTTACCCGTCCGAGCAAGAAAAAGACGATTTGAAAAAGCGCACTGGTTTGAAGAGAACTCAAATTAGCAATTGGCTTGCCAACGCGAGGCGGCGTGGAAAGGTCCGGCCCTCCCCGCCCAGCAATTCTTCTGTTTCGGGTGCCATAGACATTCCCGGGCAGCAACAACAGCAGCAACCAAACACCGCGCTCATGACGCCCCTTGAGCGATGGAAGTACTCTCCACCTGAACACGAACCTGCTGCCACATCTGATATTCTTCGAGCCCTGGTGGACACACCTTTGGATTCGACACGGCAGCCAGGTCACGTGCGTTCCCTTTCTCGGAAGGGATCCAGCAATGACTCAAGCCATGCCAACTCCAATATATTCAAGGCCCCATCCATTAGTAGCTTGGGTACAAGTCGGTCAGCCAGTCGCTCATCTGTCTCTGACCTGTCCTTTGCCTCTGCCTTCTCCCATCGGTCCTCCTTGGAGTCCTTTGGTTCAATGGAAAGGAAGGAACGTCGTCGTCGTCGCAAGCCATCAACAGCCTTGAACCCTTTCAACCAACAGAAGGCTCGCAGCGCTCGCATCTTTCAATGCACGTTCTGTACTGAAACCTTTGCTACCAAGTATGACTGGCAGCGGCACGAGAAGTCATTGCACCTTGCCCTCGACAAATGGACCTGCTCACCTCAGGGGGGCGTAGTGTACGTCAACGGAGCCAATCGCTGTGTCTTCTGCATGGCGAGTGACCCAGACACCGACCATCTGGAGTCTCACTGCTATAGTACCTGTCAAGAGAAGACCCTGGCGGAGCGAACATTTTACCGCAAGGACCATCTCAACCAGCATCTCCGACTGATGCACAATGTGAAGTTCAATTCATATATGGACCAATGGCAAAGCACAACCACAGAACTGAAATCACGTTGCGGATTCTGTGGCACAGTCCTCACTACCTGGAAGGATCGTGTGGAACACCTGGCTGCGCACTTCAAGAATGGTGCTGATATGACCCAATGGCAAGGGGATTGGGGCTTCGAACCATTCGTTCAAGGCTTAGTGGAAAATGCCATGCCCCCTTACCTTATTGGCCAAGACCGGAAAACATTAAACCCTTACACAACCTCCAGTTTTCTAGGACAGTCGTGTTGTCCATCAGCCAATGCCCCTGCTGGTCTCAATGAACCTGACGACGTCAACTGTTTTCATCGTCTTCAGCGCGAGCTCACTGCCTTCATCCACAAGCAAGTTGCAGAAGGCTTCATCCCGACAGATCAAATGATACAGGACCAAGCCCGGATTGTGATTTATGGTAATGCCGATCCTTGGAACCAGACCTGCGCCGACAATCCAGTCTGGCTGAGTATTCTCAAGCGTGACACGGGTCTTGAAGTGGTGCCTGACTCCGAGCATATTCAATTAGAAAACTTAAACATGCAGCCTCCGTTCGCGGCTCATGGCGGCTTAAGGCAGCCGCCAGCGGAAGACAATTTTCTGGCAAGGTCGTTATGCAACAAAATGCCTTTGAAACCCGAGAATTTCAGTCCTGCGCTGCAAAGTCCTACATTTCCTGGGACTGGTCGATCCTCAGCTGCTCCGAGTATGCCCGGAAGCTCGGCCGCAAGCTACGCCGGTAGCTTCGGAATTGCGCCGTCTGGGGTCAATTCCGGCCTTTCAACCGACTGGGGAAGCAACTTCTCTGCTGGTGTTTCTTCCTTCTCCACGCCTGCAAGTGGGTCAGTCGATCAATTCGTTCAAATGGGATTCGAACCGGAATTTCTGCAACAACTCAATGATCGGTATGGCGAGATGCATCTTGACGGAATGGACGGAATAATGTTCGGAGTAGAAAACACGCGCAATAGCGAGTTGGTATCCGAGGGCGAGGTATACAAACTGGCAGGCTCTACGGATGCTGCTGCACCGCTCTCCAACGTCGGGTCTGCACCTATCGATATTCCCAGTCCGAAACAAAGTGGAGGCGTCCCCCATCAAGATCACGCATCGATCAGAGATTCCTTCTATCCTGGCGTTAGTGGGATTTAAGTCCACCTGAATGACACTAGCGTCTGATGAGTGCGCGTCACGCAATCTGGACATGACTTGGTCGAGAGGGGTCATGGGAAAAGTTTCCTTTTTCTCCTTTCCTTTCTCTTCTTTCTTTTCCCTGCGTTTGCATTGGATAAGAAAACTGTATGTTGTTACAAAGTGCAGCGTTAGTCCTTATATACCAATTGGATTTTCGTCTAATTAATATGCTTCCACCCTGATCATGTTAAGGGCGTAGAAGTAGGTAGAGAGTGCCACAGCATCAGTGTGTGATTGGGCCGCCTACCCATCGGGACTGGCAACTCTGTCTTGATAGGGCGCGCAAGTGACAAACAGCAATCGAACTTTTGACCACAGGTACTTTCCTCAATAGCTAAGGTAGTCTTGTTTGATAGGTGGCTGGACTTTTCTTACTGCTTTCATTGACAGTTTAACAGCCATTATTATTCAGATAGGTGCTGGTTTTCGCTTCCTGTTTATTATCGCGTTGGTCGCTTTTGTTTCGCCACGACCGGGTGATGATTGACATGTGAAAGTGAGCCGTTGCGCAACGGTTTTTCTGCATAATCGGACATTTCCTTATCTTTTGACACTCGCAGCTACCATTCCTCCTTCTTTCATGTGTGGTATCTCAACATGTTGGATCATTCAGGTTTCATCGTCTTCTGAAGAACTTAGGAGACCTGCGTTTTAGACGTCCTGTACTCCAGAGCCTGAGAACCGTGTCAATCAGCTCAACCGAGAGAAAGTCTTAAATGGATCCAACAGCATCAAGAGCTGCTACCATGGCCTATTCAACTGGTCTTCCTGTTTTACTTCCTGTTCTCCCTGCTGCGATTAGAAGACGGATCCCCCGTCTCTATTCCTCTCTTCACCGGGCCATGGGATCGACCGATCCTTCTGACACGGCGACGGATGGGCCGGTAGGGCCAATGCGACAAGCGGATGCTCATCGCGAACTGGCACCGTTCTCATCAACTCCAGATCTGGGTTATTGTAGACCGTCATCTTCAGCGGCGAGTGACTTTGGGGCCGAAGAGCCTCTACGCCCTGCGACAGCGGGGAGTAGTGTTTGTCCGGAGTCGTGCGATTCGAGTTCATCGGCTTCGTCTTCGTCGGGGAAGACATTGGAGGCCTTGGATCTAGATGATGGGAGGGATGGCGATGCGATGGATCGGGGGTCGATGCTAGCGAAGTACGAGGTTGAGTCGGGGTTGCGGTGGAATCGGGTGGTTCCTGGTATGCGTCTTACTTCTCGTCGCATATGCCATGAGCCATCGTTCGTATGGGATGAGAAAGTACGCTAACATAGCGACAACAGCGTTGAATCTTCTCCGCAACGCGGGATACGAAGCTCAACAATCCACCTGCGACGGCCGCTTCGTCCGCTCCCTGTACATCAATGCTCTGGGGTATCTGCTCGACGCTCTGCCGGCTGATCTGACCGACGAGGAATCAATGATAATTCACCACAATCTTCCCGCCGGGATCAAGGCAACGCTTGCGACGCCCGCGGCTGCGCAGCCCGGAGCCGCTGTTACCATGGTCGATCAGTGCGCTGGGACGCGGTATCCGACGGAGCGCTCGTATCTGCATCGTTTACTGGCGTCTAGTATCGTGCAGTTCTTTCTCATCGTGCAGTTCTTGCTGCCGTATGTGAGGATCTGGCTGCATCAGATGTATCAGTATGAGAGATCGCATCGGATCACGGAGCGTCTTGTGACTGCGACACTGGATGCTGCTGATAGTCTGGGCAAGGGGAGTGTCAGTCTGGGGTCGACGGTGCTTCGACTGAACGAGGGGAAAGTCGGGACAGCGTTTACAAACCTAGCGGCCTGGTGGGTGGAGGGAGTTGCTGGTGGCATCTATGAGGGGATTGGAGAAGGAATGATGATATTGGGTCTGATTCGGCCCAATTCCGAGTGGGAGAGGATGCCTATGCAGATGCAGGGGCGATGATTCTGATGTGCAGCCGTAGATTATGATCTATTAGACACCATAGACACCACACTTGGACTTATAAAGAATTTGATGACGAATTGATTGATGACTTCAAAGCATTCTTTTCGCTCCTCTGTTTATCTTGATGGCCGCGGAGATAACGGACTTAGGATCTTGGTTGTGTGCACAGCGTCCACCATCGCGTCTCTGGGCATCAGCTAGAGGAGGGACCATGAGTTCAAACTCATTTTCGAATGCTTGACTGAACAATCCGCACAATGTCCTCATCCAGATTACCAAATATCCCTGCCCTTCGTAGACAGCAACTCCTGCTTGAATTGTGAGTATGACTACCTCTTCTCGAACAGTGCCGGCAATGTTGTGTTTGCTAAGCGTCGGTCCTGCAGTGCCAGCTTGAAGCACGCAGCTCCCCCGGGAGTCTACATTTCCGTCACACCAGGCGATTCTACCCTGTGGTCCGGCGTGATATTTGTGCGGTCGGGTATATATGCTCCTGATCTCATTGTCTGCGTAGACTCGAATTGACTCGATCACAGGCCCCTATGCTTCTGCTGTCCTCCGATTCCAGATTCGATTTCCCGCCTCCTATCCCGAGCTTCCCCCCCTCGTCACCTTTTCGACCGATGTTTTCCATCCTTTGATTGTACCCCTTACTACATATACCTTCAGCACGGGCGCGTCGACCGAAGACCCTGTTAGCGCGACGGACGAAGAGCGACTACCCCCTGGTGGATTCAGTCTCCGACATGGCTTCCCTCACTGGTTTGGGCGGGCAAGGAAGACAGGACGACTGTCAACAGCTTCGTCCAGGCCAGTGAGTGCGAATGGACGGAATGCTGATGAAGTGGAGACGACAACGGCGGATGGCCCTTCTTCTCCTTCCTCACATCAGCCCAATGGTGCAGAGGAAGACGACAACCTCACCAAGGACAAAGGAGGATCCCCTCCGGAAGCAAGAAAAACGGTACCAGTAGCAGTGCTGCTGAACTATATTCGATCAACGTTTGACGATGAGAACGTCCTTGACTCTTTGCCTCTCGAAGCTGCGGGAAACCCAAGCGCGTGGCACGCATGGAAGGCACATAGAAGAGAAAATATTGAATCGGGGACGAGCAACTCGAAACGAGGAAGTCCGCAGGCTCGGCTTCCTGGTGATTGGCATTGGGACGGTATTTGGGCGAAGCGTGTTCAGTATGAGATTGAGGGGAGTCATTCGGATCAAATATTGTTTGGAAATGCTGCTCGCGGGGCCACTGATGAGATGGTATGTTTTGCTTCAATTACCCTATATAGTTCCGTACTGACGCCGACCCGGTAGATACGCTTCTCGCGTCTGGATGATGCCACGTTGGCTTCGGTCAAGGAGATGATAGTTCCTCGAACTGGGGAAGCACATGAGTAGTTTCATATTACTGGTTATAATTTTACTAATGCTGCCTGGTCGTCGACTGCCGTTATCCTTTCAAGAGCCGAATACATGATCCTGAGGTCGCTGCCTGGCAGATGTTCTTCCCAGACTTAGAGCACACCCCAACTCGCACCTGCCGTTGATATTCGTCCCCTAGGGACAGTCTTCAACACCTCTCTCATCCTTGATTTCCTCAAACGCAGAGAACATCCTCTACTCGTCACCATACCGGTACCGATTGCATCTTAGAGACGTTTTGGATAACATTAAACATGTCCAACGACTGGTTCTATCGATACCAAACTACTATCCTCGCTGTCGTCTTAGTTTTCGTCCCTATCATCGTGATCTGCAGCATCTTCATGACTGCTCTTGCGTGCTCCGAGTACTGGTCTACACGACGAGGTTGCAGTTTCTCTTACTTTACTTGCATCTGTGGTGTCAGGTCAAGGAGTCAGAGCAAGAGGAATCATTCTAATACTGATAACGCCACCTCCTCTGAGAGGACTGAATCATCGCGGGACTCGGCTGAAAATAAGAATCCAGTCTTGCGAAATGAGCAAGTCTAGGGATGCCCGCCGGCTTTTCGCGTATGCTCCTATCACAGGAACTGCCACGATTTATGCGCTAACTTTGCCCAAGACTGCGCGAGGACATTGCTCATGATAATTCCATGGTCAGGACAAGACCCAGTGGCCGGGCACACCGTTTGTCCAAGCCTTCAACATTCCTCCGCGGCGCGCTTCATTCAGACGTTCCAAGCCTGGGGAATTCGGCATATGAAACAGAACGGAAATGGAGGTAGCAACAAGCTATGCAGATCTTACAGCCTAACTTACATAAACATTGTCCTCTGATTGGAAGGGGTGCTACCTCCTTGAACACCGAAATTCCTCAAGTTGATGTATCTTTATCGTTTTGTTGGACTGGAAGTTGCTGCAAAACCATAGGTGCTTTCGCTAGCCGAAGGGGATGCATCAAGCACTTGCTTCTCATGAGATTCTACTACAATCTCGTCTATAACCTGGATTGAAGGTTGAGCATACGACGTGTTGTTCGGGCGACTCCTTTAAAGTCCTGTTGCTATTGACGTTGCTAGAGGCAGGGCGTTGTTTGTTGTCTTGAATTGCTGCTGTTACATAGCTTGAGTGACTGTTCCTACTAGCATATCTAATACAGTGATACCCTCGAGGTGTCGGCATCTGTTTCAAGGCATCTTTCATGATACTCGGTGTTTGTTTAAGAAGCCCATTGTGCTGTCTCAGGCCACACATATCCAAAAATTAAATAGATACAGCTTTAGTACTTGCTAGTCAATAGCTGATGGTCAGAAATATGAATGATCAATCGGGCTACCGAATGAGCCAAGCGCCTACACCAATTGGGGTATATCTTTCCTCTACCCCACACCAAACGAGGTCAACGTTTGCTTCAGACAACAATATCACGGCCACACATCACGCCCCTCAAACCCGTGCAATTCTACAAAAGAACAAGGCAATGGCCGATTCCAAGGAAAACCTCCTCTCCCACGTCGACGATACCGCCGCCGACCCCCCACCAGCCTACGATGCCAGCGCCGCACCCACACCTCGCCTTCCACGCCCACCACCTCTACCCCTACCGGTCCTGAACGCCCTACGCACAAAACGAGTAATCCTCGCCTCAGCCTCGCCCCGCCGCCGCCAGATCCTCTCCCTCCTGGGCCTCCCCTTCGAGGTGCTCCCCAGCAATGCAGCCGAGGACTTCCCCAAGAGCATGGAACCATTCGAGTACGTCCTCGCAACAGCAACCAAGAAGGCGCAGGCGGTCTACGAAGCCGAAATCAACAACGAGGAGAAGGGCGAGCCTGCGCTGATCCTGGCCGCTGATACCGTCGTCGTTGATAATGTCTCCGGCTCGATCCTGGAGAAACCGCGGTCGGAGGCACAGCACATCGCCATGCTGAAGATGCTGCGCGATAATAAGGTGCATAAGGTCTACACGGCTATTGTGGCTATGGCGCCGTTGGCGAGCGCGCGGCAGCCGGGGTATGCGCTTGAGACGCACATCGAGGAGACGGATGTTGTGTTTGATGGGGATGTCACGGATGATTTGATCCTGGCGTATGTGCGGACGAGGGATGGGGGCGTTAAA